GAGACTTTTGTATCATTTTAAAAGATGTGTTTAGAGGTAAATAAAGTAGCTCACATCTCTATATCTGGCTAGACGGTTTGGGATTTTAGATTACCTCTTCTCCAGCTACTGGAGTCTGGGGATATAGACATTTGCTTTGCCAACGAGAACGAAGCAAAAGAGTTGATAGGGTGATTGTCATTACTTTGAATCTTATTAATTTCTGAACTTGACTGATTGTAAATCTAATATTTGCGCTGGGGTTGGCGTTTGGGGTTGTAGGCGCTTTGGATTTTCGTGATTGTTACGATTGGTTTTATGTAGTGTTTATATTCGTGTCATGTATATAGTTTAAAGTCTAGTTGGATAATTGTGTGATTATCATGTACCAAAGATAGCCAATTAAGACTTAGTGTTTATGTTTTCATAAATGAATTAGATCTCATTATTTGCTTGGTCTTTCAAGACTGTGCAATATAATCTCGATTGCTACTGTTAGATTTTGCTTACATTATGATGCTATTAGATTAGATTTTGTATTTAAGTCTCTAGATTTAGGTTTTGTAGCTTACTTTTAGGATTTTTAGTAATTGAAGAGGTAAACAACGTAGTGTTCAATTCTCGAAATCTGAGTTCAATTCTATATCTTCGTGTTTTATGTGTTGCAATAATTTAGTCTATGTATTAGGATTAATCAGAATTAAAGATAATGGTAAAATTTAGGCTAGATTAATAATTAGTTTTCACCTAAAAGTTTAAGTTCAGGGATAAGTGGTCTGGTGGGTTAGTTTAATGCCAATATTAATGAAATAGGTTCTCATCATTTTGAAGGTAGTTACAATTACCATTTTTTTAGAAAGATTGATCTCTTTAATAAAGTAGCTTTTAATCGTAGTCATATTAGAGGTATTATGCATTATCAAAACCTTCTTGATGATCTTATCTTGTATTCTGGACTCTCTGATCTAGAAAACTACTTTAGTGGTTGTATTTTCATTTAAGCTTTCAACCTCTTGTCATACCATTTAAGCAAATCAGATAAATCCATGAGGATTGTTATCCGAATGAAATTCTCTCTCTTTCTCCTCTTAGGTTAGGATTGTGAAAGATGGTACATGTGCGAAAAAAATCTAATACAGATTTTATCTTATAATTTAGAGAATGTTTAATTAGTTATTGTGGTAGTTTTTCTAAATTGCATTGTTTTGAAAGATTTGTTGTAGATCAATCACTTACATGGTTAGTCATGAACCTTTTGTCTTGAAGAGGTAAACAATAACATTTTGTATTTAAGTCTCTAGATTTAGGTTACGTAGCTTTAAGCTTTTAGGATTTTTAGTAATTAAAGTTGTTCTTGAGTTTTGATGAGGACTAAAATTTCTCGTTTCCTTGTAGATAATCATTTTTTGAAGATGAGGATGAGGTTACCGAATAAAAAATTAAAGCTTTGTTGGATGAAAAGGTTTGAATTTTCAATTTGAGTTTTTGAGATAAGTCACTATTTGTCTTTCTAATCAACATTGTCGGCCCTTTTATTAAATACACTTGTCGGTTCTTAGTTGGGCATGGAATTGAAGTGGTTCTATTCAATTCTAATTTGTAATGCATTTTTTCGATGTCTTTTTTATAACTGCCACATGTATGTTATAGTTAATGATGTTAGTCTGTTCCCCTCTAGGTTTTCTTGATCTGTTCCCCTCTAGGTTTTCTTGATCATGCTTTGATTTTGCCTTTCATATTCTTGTGAGAGACCTCGAAGAATGTGGCAACTACTTAGGATATTGCCATCAAATGCTTGAGTGACTTCTGTTTGGGATCTACTTTTGAGAATTCGGTTGCTACTGCAGGACCAAGGATAAACTTCAGCTTCTTGTTACGTTGTCCCTCTTTTCTTTGTTTTCCGTTTCAATGTTTGAATCTACTTTTCTTGATTTCATAAATTGGCATCTGGGGTTGTTGGTGCTTTGGATCTTCATGATTGTTGTGATTGGTTTTATGTAATGTTTATATTCGTATCATGCATATAGTTTAAAGTCTAGTTGGATAATTGTGTAGCTATCATGCAGCAAAGATAGTCAATTAAGACTTAGTTTTTATATGTGTCATGCATATGGTTTAAAGTCTAGTTGGAGAATTGTGTGGCTATCTTGCAGAAAAGGTAGCTAATTAAGATTTGGATAAGTAGATTGTCTTTGCTTGTTATTGTTCAACATCTGTGTTGTTCATAAATCGGTTTTATTTGGGTAAAGTCTTTAGTATTTGGAGAATCTAAAAAAGCGTTTGGTATTGTCTTTTTGCTTTTTTGTTTTTGTGAAAGAAAGGTTTTGTGTGAATGATTCGAGGGAAAGAAAAAGATCTTACGTGTTATTCTTTTGTAACTACGAGTTGAGTGTTATTCTTTTGGATTGAGATCCTTTCTTGTAGATCGTTACCATGTTGTTGAGCTTGGTTTTTGTATTCCTTTTCTATATTCTTTCATGTTTCTCAATGATAGTTTGGTTTCTTCTCAAAAGAAGAAAAAAAATTGAAGCAACATTTGGAGCACATTTAGAGCATATATATGAGAACTGTAAAACACTATTAGATCTAATTTACTAATAGAAGATCTAATATACAGTTAACAAATGTAATCTTAAACAACAGTATCACACAAACAATCAAAGCATCACCCACAAATATACTGTGCTTTTCTCTGCAAACACTCTTTGAAGTTTCTCTACTTCTAATCACCAATTTCTGCTCTACCATCAGCTCCCTCAAGCTCAGACAAGAGATTTGAAACCCTAGGGAAGAAGAGAATAAAACTTCTCCCTATTACAAAATTTCCCTCAGTCTCTCGTACTCTCACTCTCTCTCTCCCACTACCATATTCCAACAAACTAAATAGGAAAAAGGTTTAACAAATTGTTCGGGTAATGACCCATTTAAGAAACCCGAACTGGAAGAAACAGTGCGATGCAAAAAACCGTCTGAGCTGGTAAAATAAAAGGGCATTATAAAATACCACCTATCCACCTTGGTTTACAACAACAGCAAAAATGGTAAAAAAAAAATTAGCTGTCAATAAAATAACAAGAACTGTTTACGATTCCATGAGTTCAAGTTAGTTTCTTGAGAGTGGAGCACATTCATAATTGTTGCATGTTGGAGTTAGAAAGAGAACGTGAGAGTTAATATTAATATTTTCTTAATTATTAGTTTTATTTTGTTGAAGGAGTAGCTTGCGGGAGCAACATTTTGAGAAAGGAGAATGTACAGGAAAGAGTTTCGGCGTACTTTCGACATGTACGAGGTTGATGTAATGTGAATATAGTTCGTTGGGCATTCTCTTATTGTAGTCATAGACTTACAGTATAGTATTTGTATAAAATATCATAATGTACAAATTTGATCAGACTTTAATCTTATTACCTGCAACTTTGTTACATTTTATAATTTACAGATATAGAGAATTTTTTTGAAACGTGTACAGTGTTATTAAATGTATTTTATAGCTGTTATGAAATTGTCATATATAAACTTTTATTGACATTACAAACCTTTATTAAACACAAATTGTGACAAAAAAAACTGTCGCAATTAATCAATTGTCATATATAAAATTTTCATGATAGTTAAAATTGTCAATATAAAGATTTGAATGAAAGTTAAAAATTGTCAATATAAAGATTTTCCTGGCAGTTAAAACTACCAATATTGACCGTTAAAACTATCGCTATAAAAGTTCTCGTGACAATTATAAATAGTCATTGTTACGTTTTTCTTGACGTTTATCAACAGTCGATAAAAAACATTTCATGACAATTATAAATTGTCGTTAAAAAATATTTCGTGACATTTATAAATTGTCGTCATTAAGTTTTTATTGACAGGAGAATAAAATCTTTCATTGTTTTAGTGACAGTTATAAACTGTAATTAAATGAGTTTCTGTGACATTTATTAATTGTGATGCAAGATCTATTCGTGACAAAGTATAACTGTAGTTGTAAATGTATTGATAACAATTTTTCAAATTTGTCTTCTCCTCTTTCTTGACACCTTAATAGATAACAAAAAAAACTGCCATGAATTATGTTAATGACAGTTTTTTAAAGCCCAAATTTCTACTAGTGTATAGATATATATAAGTAAAGGTAGAGATACAAGTATAGAGATAGTAGAGGTAGAGATACATGTAGAAATCAGAGTTGAGAATAAATTGAACCAGAAAAAATAAGAAATCGGAGTTCGAAAAAATTGAAAGAGAAAAATAAGTAATCCAAGTTGGAAAAATTTGAAAGAGAAAAATAAATAATCAAGAAAAGAATTGGAAGAGAAAAATAAGAAATCAGGGTTGGAAAAAAATCGAAAGAGAAAAACAAGGTATAGATATGGAGGTAGAGGTCGAGGTAGAAGTTGAGGTAGAGATACATGTATAGATGTAGTGATAGAGATAGCGATATTGATAGAGATACATAAAGGTAGAGATAGGATCGAGGTAGAGGTAGAAGTAGAGGTACAAGAAAAAAAAAATTAAGAAAAGCAAGAGAGAGAGTAAAGGAAAGAAAAATAAATAAAAATGGTATAAAATAGAAATTTGAGAGATTTAACTTGAAAAAGATTGAATTCAATAGTTGAATAAAAGTTAATCCTATATGTATATAATATATATATTTTTTGAATTGATATATTTATACGAAGAAGAATTTCAATTTTTCTATGAGAAATAACACAATAACGAATTTTGTGATTTTTTTTCATATTTAAAAATGGACAAATAAAGCAATTTTCACGCATGTGTCCTGAAAACTGACAAATTGTATATAAAAAACATAAATAAATTAAGAATCGAAGGATGGAGGACTCAAACTTGCGTTACAAAGATTAAAAAGGAAAGTTGAAATAATGGTACATGTCATTGTTGTTCTTCTTGAAACTAAAATTGGATTGAATTAAAAAAGATATATATATGTAATCATTTCATTCACTTAAATTAAGAACTGTTTTAAATAAAATGTCAAAGTAAACCTTAAACATAACTGAATTAAAAATAAATTTATAAAATTTTAAATCTAACGTTAAGTTTTCAAATAAATCTATAAAGCTTCATAAATTTTTGTTTATTGTTTTCTTGCTCTAAAAACTAAGGGAGGAAAAGAAATATTTATATCTAATAAATCAAATTTAATCGGGTCCCATCAAAGACGAGTCGTGCCATGCCAATTATAATAGTGGGTATTATGGGCTATAAAAAGGCATATATATATATATATATATATATATGCCATTTACAAAATATTTATGATTGGTTGACAATAATTTTAAAAATATATATATAAGGGAGAGGGAGAAATTAAAAATCTAAAAAACGTGTGAGCATGATTCACGATTTTAGTGGGATTTGGGATAAAGGAGAGAAAAATGCTTTTAAAAACTAAAGGAAAAAGAAAAGAAAACAATGTGTGATCGTGATTCATATATACATATATATATCTTYCAGATCTTGATTTAATGGTAAAACGGTTAGGATGATATTACATTATTAATAATAATAATAACAATAATAATATTTTATAAACTTTTAAGAAGTAGGTTTTATTTTTATGGATATCATTAACATGTCTTTTAATGTTCATCTCAAAGGACAAACCTAATTTGATCGTAAATAAATGACTCAAATACTACATGCTTCAACCACTTTAGCATATTTCTATTAATTTTTAATCTGATAACAAATTAATTGTAAAAGACTTAAAATTATAACAGAATTAAATATTACTTGCTTAAACTACGATTTCATAATCGTTATTTTAGGAAAGAGATATTACTTTTCAAATCTTTCTTTTATATATATATAAAACGTCTTCTACCAATAAAACCAAGTAAGCTCAAATACCATTTGTTTGAACCACTTGGAATATGTTTCTATCAATTTTTCCTTGCAGAGAAGTTTTACATATGAGATACAATGAACTGTTGTTCTCATCTAAAACTACAGGACTACAAGGTACAAATAAAACTATTCAACATTAATCTTTTAAATTTAAAAATAGCAACAATATTCTAAACCATATATAAATATTTTGAGAAAGACAAACTCTATCACAAGTTGTCAAATAAAAATTATTTTGAATTTCAATAATTTCAACTATTGGACATCGTCACTTATGTATCTAAGATAAGTCTTAGAACAGTGTATCCATTAATTCGAACTACAATCTCATTCCTATCACTTTTCATATTTTTATTCTATGAAATAATTAATTTCAACCAACTTTCCTTTTTTTAATCAATTTAATTTTTAAACTATAAATTTGAAGAACCATTTTAATTAACTCCACCTCAAATTCTTGCACGAGGCACCCAAATAAATAATAAATAATTCAACTAACAAACCATTCAACCTCAGGGCAAAGAAATTCCTAAACCCAATCACAAAACTTCCCTAAACCAACAACAAAACCAAGGAAAACAAAAAAGGTTGAAAAACTTAATTAATTATTAGCAAATAATGCAAAAAATTTATTTATCAAAAGGCATAATCAAACACAAATGATTAGAAGCAATATTTCCAATATAGTTAGTTAGTTGTGCTTTTCACATAGTATATTAAAATGAGAGAAATTGTTTTCTTTTCGTTGTCCGAAGGGTCATCCCAATGCTTTGATTCCATATTATTTTTTCTTTTTCACTCAGAAGGCTATAAAGATAGTTTTCTTTGCATAATTTACTATGCAGTTTCATGTTATCCAGTCAAACATTAGTGTTTCCCTCCTCTATTGTAAGTGTTTGGGGATGAATAATCCTACTGTCACGTGGAGGATGGGGATTCGTCACTAAAGGAAGATTCGAAAGAACAAACTTACGGAGCTCCATCTCGGAACCTTCTGAGATGGAAGACTTGTCATTTCCTACCAAGGATTAACTTGTTACTTTTGGGAAGTTTCCGAGCTCGATCTGCTGGAGCCTGACACGTCCGACCTCAAATCCGACCAAGGTAACCACCTGTCGCAACTCCTGTCGGAACCTAAACCTATAAATAGAGGGTCTCATTTCACCATCAGGTATCAAATTTCTCCTCGAACTTAATATTGAGTCCGAGCTGCTTATTGACTTGAGCGTCGGAGATTTTGCTCTCTTGTGCCGGTCTTCCTTTAGCGTTTTTGGTCGGAGCAAGGACCAAGTTTGAACTAGATTGACGTTGTGCAATTTCTTGCATAAACAGTAGGTTTAAATCCTCTCGACCTTTATTAGTACGATTACATGTGAGGGTAGAAATTTTCGAACTCACGATCTTTTTGTTAGAAATATATATCTTAATCAAATTGAAGATGCTTGGTTTTTGCTCGTTGGAGAGGAAACAGGAACGCAGCTATAATAGAGATAGGAGCTGAGTGGAGAAGATGGAAAGGCATTAGGATAAGGGAGAGGAAGAGATTTTTAAAAATTAAAAAAGAAAAGAAAAGAAACGTGTCAATATGATTAACGATTTTAGAGCGTCTATTTTAAAAATTAAAGGAAAACAAAAATGTATGAGCGTGATTCAAAATGTCAGAGAAATGATGAAAGGGATAGGATATTAAAAAAAAAAAAAAAATTACTAAGAAACTATGATCTTTTACAAATGTTTTAGAAATAGTTTTATTTTTATGGGAAATAATTTGTATGTGGGTAAGATATTTATTTAGGGGTGGGTAAGAAAAATATTTATATAGGATATTTTAGTGTTCAAAAATGAAATTTTCTTCAACATATTTTTTGTGGGTTGAGAGAGTTGATTCAAAATCCTTTTCAACCACAGATTCCTTTTCTGGTTTACTTCTATTTTCTAATTCATATAAGCAAAGATCTTTTTTTCTTTCCAATTAGCTTTCTATTTTTACTAAAAATTTCATTTACATTCAAATTAAAAAGAAGTGATTTGATTGCTATGATTCACAGGTTGTATCAAAAATTCTGGAAAGAACCAAAGTTCCAGATTCGATGTGGAACGACTTAGTATTTCTTCGTTCATTCTCATCCTATTTTTTGATGGTTGGATGGGTTGATTTCTAATTGACAATAATTTTTCCCCTATTTTTCGGCTTGAAAGATTGATATTGAGTAATGTTAATTGTATCGATCTAGTTGTATCAAATGAAAACAATAATTTGTTGTACCTTAATATACAAAACTTTTCTTTACGTGCAAGTTCATATCAACCTATGCTATCACTTAACTGGTCCGAACAAGTGCTTCTGTATGTTTCATTACGATTGATATAGAAAAAAAAATTTCTATCAATTAAGGTACAATTTTTCATTTAAATAAATTTCACTTTGTTTTATGTTATAATTTGGTATATTTCCGTCAATATATTGCTTATTATTTTTATTATTATTATTTTTTTTAATTTGATTGAGGATCTACCATTCTTGGAATTAATTCCAAGACATTTCCATTCAAGTTAAAATGGAATTCACTTGCTAACATATATTTATCC